GGTTTCACCCCAAAACCAGGGGGTTTCTCCCCAAAACGAGCAGGTTTCTCCCCAAAATCAGGGGGTTTCACCCCAAAACCAGCGGTTTCACCCCAAAACGAGCGGGTTTCACCCCAAAACCAGGGGATTTCACCCCAAAACCAGCGGATTTCACCCCAAAACCAGCGGTTTCACCCCAAAACGAGCGGGTTTCACCCCAAAACCAGCGGTTTCACCCCAAAACCAGGTGATTTCACCCCAAAACCAGCGGTTTCACCCCAAAACCAGCGGGTTTCACCCCAAAACCAGCGGTTTCACCCCAAAACCAGCGGGTTTCACCCCAAAACGAGGGGGTTTCACCCCAAAACCAGCGGGTTTCACCCCAAAACCAGCGGTTTCACCCCAAAACGAGCAGGTTTCACCCCAAAACGAGGGGATTTCACCCCAAAACGAGCGGGTTTCACCCCAAAACGAGGGGGTTTCACCCCAAAACCAGCAGGTTTCACCCCAAAACCAGCGGTTTCACCCCAAAACCAGCAGGGAGAGGCACTCACTGATTTTCCGCTCGCGTTCCTCTGGGAAGAGGAGCAGGAAAAGGAGCAAAAAGCAGGAAAAAGAGAATTATGAAACAATTTCCACATTTCTGCCGCGGCCCCGGAGCAGGAATGGGGATTTTTCCCCCCAAAAAATTTCCTTTAAAATGAGGACTTTGCCTTGGACTAACTGAGTTTGGCGCTGGATTCACCTAAAAAAAAAAAATAAAACAGGAAAAAATTCAAAATCAGCCTCAATTCACCCGAAATCCCGGGAAATAATAAATGTGAAAAAAGCCCAAAGTGGCTCCTCCCACCCCAGAATATCCAAATTGAGGGGATTTTTATTTATCCCCCCCCTACAATCCTAAAAATTCGCTTTATTAAGGAAAAAACAGCCCCAAAACCACCTAAAAATGCAGAAAATTTAATTTTTTACAGCGTGGTTAAGGCCTGGATTTTCATTTCAAGGCCGAAATTCCCATTTTAAACACAAACTGAGGGGGAAAATTCCCATTTGAAGACCCAAACTGTTTTGTTTTAGGAGAAATTTGTCATTTTAAAGCCAAAACTTTAATTTTGAGGCCAAATCCCTCATTTTAAACCACGAGCTCCTTACCCAGGTCCGAGGTCAGTTTGCCTGAAACCAAAAATTAAAAGAAAATTCAGATTATTTGGAGTTTTTCCAGGTCTGGATCCACCCCCGGCAGGGATGGGGAAAAGGACCCAAAATCCCAAATTCTTCAGGTTGGGCCAACCCCAAAACCTCCCCGGACCCCCCAAATTAATTAGGGATGGGTGGATTAATGAGGAAAGGAAAAGGAACTCACTGATCCTCCTGTCCCGCTCCGCTGGGAAGGGGAGAGAGGGAAAGGAGTCAGGAAAAGGGGAAAAAGGGGGAAAAATGGGAAAAAAAGGGAAAAATGGGGAAAAATGGGGAAAAATGGGGAAAAAGGGAAAAAAAGGGGAAATAAAGGGAGAAATAAAGGGAGAAATAAAGGGGAAAAAAGGGGGGAAAAAGGGGAAAAAAGGGGAAATAAAGGGAGAAATAAAGGGGGGAAAAAGGGGGAAAAAAGGGGGAAAAGGGGAAAAAAGGGGGGAAAAAAGGGAAAATAAAGGGGAAAAAAGGGAGAAATAAAGGGGAAATAAAGGGGAAAATGGGGAAAAAGGGGAAAAAGGGGAAATAAAGGGGAAATAAAGGGGGAAAATGGGGAAAAATGGGAAAAAAGGGGAAATAAAGGGAGAAATAAAGGGGGAAATGGGGAAAAAGGGGAAAAAAGGGGAAAAAAGGGGAAAAAATGGGAAAAAAGGGGAAATAAAGGGGGAAATAAAGGGGGAAAAAAAGGGGGGAAAAAGGGGGGGAAAAAAGGGGGGAAATAAAGGGAGGAAAAGGGAGAAAATAAAGGGAAAAAATGGGGAAATAAAGGGGAAAAAGGGGGGAAATAAAGGGGGAAAAGGGGAAAAAATGGGGCAATAAAGGGGAAAAAAGGGAGAAATAAAGGGGAAAAATGGGGAAATAAAGGGGAAAAAAGAGTAAAATAAAGGGGGAAAAAGGGGGAAAATAAGGGGGAATAAAGGGGGAAAATAAAGGGGAAAAGGGGGAAAATAAAGGAGGAAAAGGGGAAAAATAAAAGGGAAAAAATGGGGGAATAAAGAGGGGAAAAAGGGGAAAATAAAGGGGAAAAAAGGGGGGAAATAAAGGGGAAAAGGGGGGAAATAAAGGGGAAAAAGGGAGAAAATAAAGGGGAAAAAGGGGGAAATAAAGAGGAAAAAAGGGAGAAAATAAAAGGGAAAATAAAGGGGGGAAAATAGAAAAAAATGGGGGAAATAAATGGGAAATGCAGAGGGGAATGAGGGTGGAGTCCGGGAGAAAGAGGAAAATTCTCACCCAGAGCTGCGTTTTCCCCTGGAAAAGAGCAAAAAACCCAAAAAAATCCATTTCCACCCCAAAAAAGTGAATTTGGACCCAAAAAACCTGAATTTGGACCCAAAAAAACCTGAATTTGCAGCCAAAAACCCCCGAATTTGCACCCAAAAACCCCCGAATTTGCACCCAAAAAACCCGAATTTGCACCCCAAAAAAATCCGAATTTGCACCCAAAAAACCCCGAATTTGCACCCAAAAAACCCAAATTTGCACCCAAAAATCCCAAATTTGCACCCAAAAATCCCAAATTTGCACCCACCCGGCTCCATGGCGCCAGGATCCGCTCCGGGCTCCCTCACCTGGGGGAAAAAAAGCAGGAATTGGGTCAGGGAGGGGTTTTCCAGGAAAAAAGGGAATTTTGGGAATATTCCAGCCCGGGGGGGGAGGGCAGGGAAGGAGGTTTTCCCAAATCTCCCCCCCCAAAAAAATCCTAAAATAATCTTCAAATCACCAGGTGCCCCAAAATCCCCAGATCCCAAAAAAATCGCCCGAAAAAATCCTCAAATAATCTCCAAATCCCCAAAACTCCAGATCCCCAAATCCCAAAAAAATCCCTCAAAAATCCCTCAAAAAATCCCCAAATAATCCCAAAATAATCCCCAAATAATCCCAAAATAATCTCCAAATTCCTAAAGCCCCAGATCTGCAAATCCCCAAATCTCCAGATCCCCAAAACCCAAAAAAATCCCTCAAAAAATCCCCAAATAATCCCCAAATAATCCCTAAAAAATCCCCAAATAATCTCCAAA